GTCCCTGGGAACATCAGGACAGCTGATTACTTTGTTTCGTTCATGCGGCGTTTGATTGACTTCCTGAAAATGAGGTTGGCTGTCACACACGCGGTTCAGGAGTCGCCTGCTGGTATCCTGAAAGACCTGAAAAACAGAGCCTTTATTGATCGAAAACCCCTGAGGTGTGTGCGACTGATCATTTGACTGAAGATTTTATCTAATGTTGCAGAAGTTGATGACAATACTGGAGGAATGATTGTGGTTATTTTATGATTATTTATATACTTTAATATTTCTAGCTCCTTTTTTTATCTGTGATTTTACTTTCATTTGATTACACTTTTTTCTTCTAGGTTTTGCTCTGAACGCCTCTCCTCCATTGTGAGAACATTAGAGTTGACTGATATATCGGACATCTCCCCCCTCGTAGCCGTTGCTCACTTTGCCACCCTTGTCTCCACGTACTTGCAGGGTTTTGTCGTAATTATTGAGCCCTTCGAGGACAAGGCTCCAAATATTCCCAATCCTATATTGTACTTGAGGTGAGGTTTTATAGCTTTGAGAGTGTCATGAGTAAGACAACAAAATCAGCTTTGTTCATGTTTATTATATTCGGAAGACATTAAACTCTATGCAAAATAGGATAAAACTACTGATTCTTTCACATGATAGACACTCTCTTGAAGTAAAGGAGCCCTAAGCTTGATTCACGTGACTCAGGATACATTTGAATCTTTTATAAAAACTGCACTGACTAATATATATGATCAAGACGGATTTATGTATTTGTCATTTACCATTTCAGACATCTAAAATCAAATAGTAAATTAATGTAAAAGAAGCAGCAAGAGTATTTTCTGTTTTCTTTATGGCTTAGGTGTTTGGATTCGTCGCTTGCAATCAAACCAGTCTTCACAAAGTTCCAGACAGTTGTCATTACCTCTGGAACTCTCTCACCCTTGGACATGTATCCTAAGATCTTGGACTTCCATCCTGTGATCCAGAATTCCTTTACAATGACACTTGCTAGACCTTGTATCCTTCCAATGGTAAGTGCTAGGGTAGGAGTGTAACATTAAATGCATATAATTGTGTGATATGATATTATATATATTTATGATAATATTTTTGCATGCAACATGGGATCATGTATGATAGTTGTGGAATATTTATCATGTACTATAATGTAATATGTATATCATGTAATATTAATCCAGTGTTGCAAGTACTGTATACTGTGATTTTTTGTGTGAATTTGTTTGCAAAGACGGCTCCACAGGTGCTAAGTCACCATAAAGGCAATTAGTAGGCCTGCATGACCTCACCGGATTTCCTCTTTCCTTGAGTTCGCAGGATTTTTTTTTTAATGCTATGAATCCAACCACCATGGATTCATGTGCTGTCACCTGTATTTTTTTGTGAATTTGTTACATACAGATGGATCCACATGTGCCCAGCAGTAGAGTCTATGAGTAGGCCTTAGTGACCAATCCTGATTTCCCCATTCCTTGAATTGCCAGAAAAATATAGTTTTCTTTTTAATACAATTGATATCAATACTGTTGTTATTGTTATAGATATTATGATTATTAACCCAATCAGCATGAATGGCAAGAATACGTTATTTATTGCATTTACACATAGATGGCTCTACAAGTGTGTAATCACCAAGGAGTCAGTTATTAGTCCTACCTAGTCCTACCTGTTTATCCTTTTCCTTGACTTTTGGAGAGGGTCTTTTGTATTATTTCATTGTCTCAAATGTTACCAAGATTTTGGTAACAGTCTAATAATCATTAATAATAATAACAGTATTGGTATCAAATGTATTAAAGGAAAACACATTTTTCTGCCAATTCAGGGAATGGGGAAATCAAGATCGGTCACTAAGGCCTCCTAATAGACTCCTTGCCAGCTGAGCACATGTGGAGCCAAATGTATGTAACAAAATTCACAAAAAAACTACAGGGGACAAAACATAAATCCATGGTGGTTTATGTTAAATTGTTATTAAAGTTTTAGTAACATTTAGGACAGTGATATATACAAAAGACCCGTTCCAAAAGCCAAGGAAAAGGGTAAACAGTTGAGATAGGTAGGACTATTGGTGACTAAGCCATCAATGTATAAATACAATAAATAAACTTATATTGCAGTGCGCATGGTATGTATTCTTGCCATCCGTGCTGATTGGGTTAATATCAGTGATACCAGTTATTTTCATTATCATTATTCTCATTATTATTATTATTTTTATTATTATTATTATTATTATTATAAAGATTACAGTTGTTATGTTATTATTAACAATACTAATAGCAATAAGAAATAAAAAAGAATCTTCCCAAAAATCAAGAAAAAGGGGTAAACAGGTGAGATAGGTAGGAATAGTAATTGACTCTTTCTTGACAAATCACTTGTGGAGTCATCTATGTCTAAGCACAGTTAGTAGACTAAAATCACAGTAGACATGGCATGTATTGTTGCCATCCCAGCATCATTTAATAAGATTAATTTGATGTGATATAATGATACATTGTTTTGTGTGATATCCAATGATAAATTATGATCATTATTTATTTATTGTGAGTCTTAGGGATGCTGCAGTGAAAGATTCCAAAGGAGGTTACAGCATGCTTTATCCACTCCAGATTGTGACTAAGGGTAACGACCAAGTGGCCATCTCGTCCAAGTTTGAGTCCAGAGAAGATCCAGCTGTCGTCAGAAATTACGGGAAGCTTTTAGTAGAAATGGGGACAATTGTACCTGATGGTAAGTAGTTGCTATTATTATAATATAGTTAGAGTTATGCACATTATATATGCTGGCTTAATTGTAAGGTATCTTATATACTTTGTTATGCTAGTGTTATAAAGATTTGGAAAGAGATACATTGATACTAATATTTGGTATTCATTTTAACTCTGTGATGTATGCCATGTCTTTTTTGTTTAAATAGTAATGGCATAATGATAACCAGTGGTAGCCAAGTATATACTTTATATTGCTGTTGTTGTAGTTATGTGATGATTTATATAATTGAAGGAATGTATGGTTTTCATTAGAATTTTATCTTTTACACTATTACCCCAATGTCAGTGGGTGGCAAGACTACAGTGCCATCCCCACTGTAATAAAAGTTTATCTATTGTCTTTACACATAGATGGCGCTACAAGTTCTTAGTCAGTCGGAGTCAGCTGCTAGTCTTATCTATATCATCTGTTTACCCTTATCTTTTATTTTTTGAAAGCTTCATTTCTATTATTTTATTGTCTTTGATATTATTAATATTTTAATAATCATAATATCAATTAGAATGATAACAATGTCATTATTAATAGTATTAGAAAGAAAAACACATTTTCCCGCAAATTTAAGGCATGGGGAAATCAGGATCGATCACTAGGGCCAACTGAGAGACTCCCTAAAATCTAAAGGGGACAGTACATAAACCCGCTGACATTGGGTTAACTGTGCGTAACAACAGACAACTCTAAAGTGTGTGCCATAATCAGTGATGCTGAACCATTTCTTCTCATTCTCAAATCAAGGAATGGTGTGTTTCTTCACCTCTTATCTGTACCTGGAGAGTGTGGTGGCCACCTGGTATGACCATGGCATCATCAGTGACCTTCAGAGGCACAAGCTTGTTTTCATTGAGACCCAAGATGATGCTGAGACATCTCTAGCTCTTCTGAATTATATGAAGGTTGGTCTTCTGTTTTTTTTTTTTTTTTTTTTTTTTTTTTTTTTTTTTTTTTTTTTTTTTTTTTTCTTTCTTTCTTTCTTTCTTTCTTTCTTTCTTTCTTTCTTTCTTTCTTTCTTTCTTTCTTTCTTTCTTTCTTTCTTTCTTTCTTTCTTTCTTTCTTTCTTTCTTTCTTTCTTTCTTTCTTTCTTTCTTTCTTTCTTTCTTTGTTATTTGTAGTGTTTATTTTTTACCTTTGTTCTTTTGTTCTTGTTCTCCTTTTTTCTGTCTTTTGGATTAATTTAAGTGTTTCATACCCAGTATACCCATGGGGAAGCCATACTGAGATAGACAATTAACATTATTATAAGAGACAGTGGAATATCAGGAGTGTCCAAATTTGAAGGCTGGTTGGATATAGACCTTTATCTATTTATATATATATGTGTGTGTGTGTGTGTGTGTGTGAGTGCATGTGTGCGTGCGTGCGTGTGTGTACATGTAGATATATTGCACGTTTTCATTTTTCTATTTACTTCAGTTAAATTCATGGTTAGGATTCAATTTTAAATAAATGTTGAAAAGGGAAAAGTTACCTAAACAAATGTCCAGTGCATTTAAATTTAAATATTTATTTCACTTTTCTTCTTTCTTTCAGTATTTTCTTTAGTTGAAGAAAATTTCATATTTACTTAATAAATGAGTATTAGTACTGTAAGAAATTTGGATTCTTATAGACTAGTCAAGTATATTAGATTAGAGTTGCAAATGTGTAAATTTTGGTGTTGTAACCATGGTGAATTGTTTAGTGTCTCAAAACATTTGTTACCTAGCACGTAAGGTAGCCTGTATTCGGATAGGCTGAGCCGAGATGCCTCACACACAACAGAGCTGGGCTTGGCCGAAATGGGGTATTCCATACTGGGATTGGACCACTTGGGTAGCTAATGTTTGATTGATCTGGTCTTTGTGTATTAGTTTTTTTTTTTTTTTTTTTTTTTTTTTTTTTTTTTTTTTTTTTTTCTCTCTCTCTTTTTTTTGTATTATTGTACATTTATAAACATACATTATCTTTACACATACTTGTGTTATGGGGAACCTCACCCTATCAAAAAATGCAGCACATATTTGTAATGCAAAATTTTCACCTATTATATCCTCTCACTCTCTCTCCTCACCCTATCAAAAAATGCAGCACATATTTGTAATGCAAAATTTTCACCTATTATATGTGTGTGTGTGTTGTGTGTTGTGTGTTGTGTGTGTGTGTGTGCGTGTGTGTGTGTGTGTTGTGTGTGTGTGTGTGTGTTGTGTGTGTGTGTGTGGTGTGTG